TTGCCGGTCCCCGGTACGGGCGCGACACTGAGGGTTGCAATCCCGTTACCAGTCAGTAAAAAAAGACAAAAAGGAAAAAAAAAATTCAACAATAAGAACACAAAAACAACCCAATTAAAAAAAAAAAAAGGCAAAAGGCCTAAACAGACACCTCACTAAAGAAGATTATATAGATATAAATAAGCATATGAAAAGGTGTTCAACAGTGTAAGTCATTAGAGAATTGCAGATTAAAACAAGATAACCACTGTACTTCTATTTGAATGCCAAAATTTAAAACACTGACAAGCACCAAATGCTGCCAAGGATGTGCAGCAACAGACACTCCTATTCATTGCTGGTGGAAATGCAAAATGATACAACCACTTTGGAAGAAGTTCGGCAGTTTCTTATGTAACTGAACATACTCTTACCATGTGATCCAGCTATTGCACTCCTTGGTATTTACTCAGATGAGCTGAACAATTTATATCCACACAAAAACCTCCATAGGGATGTTTATAGCATCTTAATTCATAATTGTCAAAACTTGGAAGCAACCAAGATGTCCTTCAGTAGGTGAAAGGATAAACAGACTGTGGTATATCTAGACAGTGGAGTATTATTCAGTGCTAAAAGGAAATGAGCTGTCAAGCCATGAAAAGACATGGAGGAAACTTAAATGTATGTTAGCAAGTGAAAGAAGCCAATCTGAAAATGCTACATAGTGTATGACTTTAACTCTATGACATTCTGGAAAAGGCAGAACTGTGAAGACACTAAAAAGATCAGTGACTGCCTAGGGTTGGGTGGAGGGAGAGACGAGTAGGCAGAGCACAGAGGACTTTTAGGGCTGTGAAGCTACTCTGTATGACACCACAGTGGTGGACACACACCCTCATATGTTGTCGAAACCCATATAATGCACAACCCCAGAGTGAGCCCTGATGTAACTGTGGACTTTGGGTGATAATTATGTGTCACTGTAGATTCATTGATTGTACCAAATGTGCCACTGTGCTGCAGGATGTTATACATGTGTGGGGACGGGGGTATAAAGAAACTCTGTGTACTTTTTGTTTGGTTTTGCTGTGAACCTAAAACTACTCTAAAACATAAAATGTATTCATTAAAATGTTGTCAAAACAAGAAAATAAAGAATAATATGCAAGAGACTATATGTTGCCTACAAGCCTAAAATATTTATTATCTGGTCTTTTGCAGGTAAAGTTTACCAAGCTCTGTACTGTATCACAGTGGAACTAAGATGAGGTTTAGTCTCTCTCTGGTGCCATGCCCAGTCCTCTAGTTCTCCTGGGTACTCAGTGTCTCTAATGGTAAAGTTGTCCTTAGGAGTTTCTGTTTTGTTTGCAGGTATATGAGTGACCTAAAGCTGCAAATAAAGGCGGAGAGAGAGCAGTGCCAACTGGGAGCAGCAGGTCAAGGATGCCAATTCCTCCTCCCCCTCCACCCCCACCTGGTCCTCCTCCACCCACTTTTAATCAGGTAGGCAGTACTTCTACCAGGCTTTCTCAAAACCTTTGAGTAAATAGATCAGTAGTGCGCAATAATGTTTTTTTTACTCCCTTTGGCTAAAAATTCTAGGTTTTTCTACTCATGGTATTCTTATTTTGAGTCTGATCTTTTATTTATTTATTTTTTTGGTGGCTGGCCAGCACAGGGTTATTCTGTTTTTAACATCTCTGATTTTTAGTCCTAATATTATTGGACACTTAAGGCTTCCTTGTATAAGACATAGTATACTCAGTGACATGTGGTACAGGATGATGGAGAATAAACAAACTAGTTCTGATTCCTAAGAGGTCCTTTTAGGATCATAGAGGAGGAGAATACAAGCTCAATTTTGGACATTTAAAATAATATTTTATTTTATTTTTTATTTATTTATTTATTTATTTATTTATTTTGTCTTTTTCCGTGTCCGGCAACGGATCGCAACCCTCAGTGTCGCCCCTGTACCGGACCGGGAC